GTTTTCTGTGTTGTTGAAGGCGGTAGTTCGTCTGTCTGAACTTTATTAATCCCCCAACTGGACCAACCACTTGTTTTTGCGTAATGTTTGTCCAGCCCCCAAGTTTAGTTTTCTGTCAACCCCTCATTCCTTACTAGACTCATCAATTTGACTGGACTTCCAGGAATTGGAAGGTGACTCTTTCTTCTTCCTTGATGGAGATTGAAATTCTTTACTTAGAGGTCACTATTTTGAGGAGCCCCGGTTAAGGGAAGCTTTGGACTGAGCTACCTATTCTGTTTTCTGTGTTATTGAATGTGGTAGTTTGTCTGTCTGAACTTTATTAGTCCCCCAACTGGACCAACCACTTGTTTTTGGGTAATGTTTGTCCAGCCCCCAAGTTTAGTTTTCTGTCAACCCCCCATTCCTTACTAGACTCATCATTTTGACTGGATTTCCAGGAATTGAAAGGTGACTCTTTCTTCTTTCCTGATAGAGATTGAAATTCTTTATGTGGAGGTCACTATTTGAGGAGCCCCAATTAAGAGAAGCTTTTGACTGAGCTACATGTTCTGTTTTTTGTGTTGTTGAAGGCTGTAGTTCGTCTGTCTGAACTTTATTACTCCCCCAACTGGACCAACCACTTGTTTTTGCGTAATGCTTGTCCAGCCCCCAAGTTTAGCTTTCTGTCTACCCCCCATTCCTTACTAGACTCATCAATTTGACTAGACTTCCAGGAATTGGAACGTGACTCTTTCTTCTTTCCTGATGGAGATTGAAATTCTATACTTAGAGGTCACTATTTTGAGGAGCCCCAATTAAGCGAAGCTTTTGACTGAGCTACCTGTTCTGTTTTCTGTGTTGTTGAAGGCGATAGTTCGTCTGTCTGAACTTTATTAGTCCCCCAACTGGACCAACCACTTGTTTTTGGGTAATGTTTGTCCAGCCCCCAAGTTTAGTTTTCTGTCAACCCCTCATTCCTTACTAGACTCATCATTTTGACTGGACTTACAAGAATTGGAAGGTGACTCTTTCTTCTTTCCTGATGGAGATTGAAATTCTTTACGCAGAGGTCACTATTTGAGGAGCCCCAGTTAAGGGAAGCTTTTGATTGAGCTACCTGTTCTGCTTTATGTGTTGTTGAAGGCGGTAGTTCGTCTGTCTGAACTTTATTACTCCCCTAACTGGACCAACCACTTGTTTTTGGGTAATGTTTGTCCATCCCCCAAGTTTAGTTTTCTGTCAACCCTCCATTCCTTACTAGACTCATCAATTTGACTGGACTTCAAAGAATTGGAAGGTGACTCTTTCTTCTTTCCTGATGGGGATTGAAATTCTTTACGTAGAGGTCACTATTTTAGAAGCCCTTATTGAGGGAAAATTTTGACTGAGCTACCTGTTCTGTGAGAGCCTGAATATAAAAATTAAGTAAATAATTAAATAATAATCTTATTACAATCTCAAATATTTTGGTGGTCAATCCTAAAGTGCAAATTAAATATTTGGAAGGTCTTTTAATTAATTTTTAAACGTAAAATAAATTTATGGTGGAAATCTCTAAAAAATTTATGGTGGAAATCTCTAATTAATGTTTAATTTAATTATTGAAAATTCAAAAACCAAACATGAAAATTCCAAAGCATTAAAGATACCTGAGAGAGTCCATTCATTAATCCAGAACATTCATTAACTCATTGCAATTCAATAAAGAAAGTGATGAACTAATAAAGAATTGCAAGGGAAAGAGCACTCCCCAACAAAAAAAAAAATTGCATACAAATCTATTTGTATGTTTGGTGAGTAAAAATATTATATTCACCCATTTGAGTAAGATGAAAAAAAAAAAGCTATATAACAACAGCCCAATACAAGTCTACATTAACTTGGAGTTTTTTTGGGAAGCTCAACCCATTAAGAAAAAACAACACGCCTGTTCAAACACCAAATAACACTACAAGAAATAATACTCTCTGTCACCTGTAACCTGTGCATATACAAAATTATTCATCCATCCATCATTCATTCAATTCTCAACCATTGAATAAAAATATTTCTCCACAACCTGTAGCATTCAATTTTCAACCATATACACAACTTAACTATTAACCGTACATATCAAAGAAAATAAGAATCCATAAACATAGTATAATCTAACAAATACATATACTATCCGAACCAACAATTACAATTCAAACAAAAAAAAAAATCTTAATAACAAAACATATCAGTTGTACATGTTTTCCATAAACAAAAAATATAATGTAAATTGCGCCCATGCAAACATCATCAAGTTGTCCCAAAAACATCACTGTATCCATGCCAACATTTTCAATCTGCAACAAAAACCAGTGAGGTAAGTAATCAAAAATGCAGAGCTTGATTTTTGTTTAAACATAATATGGTTCAATTTATTTAACAAGTAATTTAGCTTATGGAGAAGGAAAAAATTAGATAACTAACTCAGTTGAATTTAGATGAATAACACAACGAAAATACCAATTGATATAGTAAGACTAAATAAAGAAAAATCAGTCAATGATTCCTTTTAGCTTAACATATTGTCATTTCAAAGATTTCAACTAAAATAGGCAAATAACGATTTATGAGGATATAACACACAATATCAATTATACAGCAACAAAGTGAGTTTATCAATTAGCTTTTTCGCACCCTTAACGCCCTTTTCCGATTAAGTTTAATGCATTTTCGGCTGTAACTCCCAACCTACACGTGCTAATTACATTCCGTCTACTGTCACAGGTCCTATTTGTCATGGGAAAGCTGGCTGTGACATCTAAACGGTGGTTCAGAGGCTGTTTCGCAGTTTCGCCCCCTTAACGCCCTTTTTCGGTTAAGTTTAAGGCGTTTTTGGCTCTAACTCCCAACATACACGTGCTAATTACATTCCGTCTATTGTCACAGGTCCTATTTGTTACATAGAAGGTGGCCGTGACATCCGAACGGTGGTTCGGGGGCTGTTTCGCAGTTTCGCCCTCTTAGTGCCCTTTTTCGGTTAAGTTTAAGGCATTTTCGGCTCTAACTCCCAACCTACACATGCTAATTACATTCTGTCTGTTGTCACACGTCCTATTTGTCATGGGAAAGGTGGCTGTGACATCCGAATGGTGGTTCGGGGGTTGTTTCGCAATTTCGCCCTCTTAATGCCATTTTTCGGTTAAGTTCAAGGCGTTTTCGGCTCTAACTCCCAACCTATACGTGCTAATTACATTCTGTCTGTTGTCACATGTCCTATTTGTCACGGGGAAGGTGGTTGTGACTTCTGAATGGTGGTTCGGAGGCTGTTTCACCCCCTTAACGCTATTTTTCGGTTAAGTTTAAGGCATTTTTGGCTCTAACTTCCAACCTACACGTGCTACTTACATTCCATCTATTGTCACAGGTCCTATTTGTCACGGGAAAGCTGGCTATGATATCCGAACGGTGGTTCGGAGGCTGTTTTGCAGTTTCGCCCCCTTAACGCCCTTTTCAGTTAAGCTAAAATCATACTAAGTGTGAAGCTCTATTCCTATTCAATCATCTGTGACCCCAAACAACTAAGCAAGCACTATAATTTATGTAAAGTTGTGATTACATTCTCATGATCCATATGGCAAAGAAATTTGATTTCACGTGACGTCCTCATTGCTAAACAATTTCAAACTCAAAGGCAAGGGATATATCTATTCAATGAAAAAATAATCAAAGCAAAACAAGAAATAAACAAGGAGAATTCCATAGAAAAACTGTCAAGGACGAAGTAATGGAAACATGGAAATCTACTGAAGTTATACGCACGGGAGAATGTATAACACGGACCAAGCTAAATTTTAGTGAATGAATGAGACCAAAAAGCTTTGCCCAGTTCAAAAGCTCCCTATTAGATTTAATAAAAAGGTTTCATCATTTATGAATTTAAACTGATTAAATTATAATCATGAAAGGTAACAACACAGTAAGCATTAAGGAACTATATACTATACTAAATTTTATTTGCATATATATGCTTATAGATTTTGTGCCTTTGACTTAAAGAGGTAAGATCTTTTGCCCTCATGGAGAATTTGAGACATGCTCATGACCATAATGAATTGTAAGCCTCAACCTTGAATCCATGTATAAAGAGCACAAAACCTTGCTTAAAGCTTAGAATGTCAACTCTTCCATAGAATGTCATCTATCATTCAATTAGACATCCTAAAATTCAAGAAACCAACCTACTTCACCAAATGAATGTCAATGTGATAACATGACTAAGTAGAACAAAACCAAGCAAACATAATATATATATATATATATATATATATATATGTATAAACCACAATAAAGAGATCGTGCAAAATAAACTACATATTGTTATGGACAGACCTGTTAGTTCTAGCAATTGCCAGTGATGCTACCACCTCTACGGAAAGAACATAGATAGGACCATAAGCATGCAAGACGTATTCACTACCAATCAGATGTCCTGATTTCGCATACCTGGAAATATTTGCAATAGAAAAAAAAAACTCAAAAATTAGGTTGCAAATAGTTATACACACTTCATCAAATATATACATTATTGCATAAACAAAAAAACACAAAAATATATATTTAAATCAGAGGGAGGGTTAAAAGTTTTCCTATCTACCACTTCAGTTTAGAGTTAGTTATCACAGGTCCTTTCTTTATGCATCCAATGTAAGTCAGTGAATGGCTTCTCTCTTTAGCCAAAAGAGTTGCAAGTTGATCTATTGGAATTGAGAAAATGGTATTACTAGTAAAAGACCAGCAATAGTGAAATTATTGAATAGCGACGAAAATATTAGTCGCCAAAAGTAATATTTGGCGACTAAATTTAAATTTAGTCGCCAATAAGTAATATTTATTGACTAAAAAATTTTAGTACTGGTATCTTGAACCAACGCCGACAGATTTGAATTTTAGTCGCCAAAAAATGTGCATCAGGTGCTGTTATATACATGTTGCATACCGAGAACAATAGGCCTCTCTTTTGACCAGGGAAAACTGAATATTTTTTCCATCCTATTTCCCTCCTCCAGTGTTGGAACTCTCCCTGTAAAATAAATACACAACATAATTAAGCCACAGGATATCAGAAAAGGGCCTTCATTTTATATGCATATGGGACTTGATGATTAAGTGAGATGATCAAACAATAGAACCCCATCAACACAGGTGAGTGGGGCACCTGTCCTAACCTGTCTTAAGGAAGGAATCTATAGCCACATTTAACCTGGCTCGATTCAGCGTACGCAACACAACAGATTTAACCTGCGCTAAAACAAAAACAAAAAAATTGAATACTTGGTAGGTAAAAATGACACACTTTGTTCCATATGGCACAAAAGTATATAAAGGGCAAAAAATTATTACTAATATACAAAAGACAACCTCTTGGTAGGAGCTACAAAGGTATCCACATGAAAGGAAGGCAAATGTTGTGACTAGGGAGGGATTTCTTTTTGCCATCATGATGCTCAACCCAGTTCCAAGCTTCAAAAAACAATGGTTCAGCAACACTAGCTCTGAGTAAAAATGTTCAATGCATAAGTATGTGCATCATGCAAACTGCAAAAGACCATAAAATTCATACCCAATTCTCAGCTCACTGATCCAAGCCAGCAGCAACAACACACAGTCGGCAGCAACCAGAATCAAGAAACAGCAAGCAACTAGCAACCAGCAACACAACAAGCAGCTACCCCTTCCTTCAAAACATTAACAAAAATAGCAACAGCATCTAGAATCTTAGAAAATAAGCCACAATTACAAGATAAGATAAGCCAAAAGCCAGAACTATATAATAAGCCACACCTTAAACAACGTAGACTAATCCAAGTGAAAACACCACCTGAAGATAATGTTTGAATATGCTTACCAATGTTGGTTGTTCCTAATGTCCTAATTTTCCCCCTGTTCCATAACCCCTTCCATGGGTTTGTCTCCTGGGTCTCTTACTATATACTCTCTGTATATCTTGCGCAGCTACACGTACGACTCCCTTGCCCGCTTCTGTAGAAGCTGGCTGCACATCACCAATGGATGCAGTACAATCATTTGATACCACCTCTGGCACACCTTCACATACGGCACTAAGCTGTGAAACGCCATCATCCGCTGCATTATTGTCATGGTCTATTGCTTGGCGTCGCCCTCGCCCTAGCCCTCGGCCTCTACTTACACCACGACGGCTGCCACAACCTCTACCCTTACCTGTCCCCCTGGTAGGTGCATGGACCTGGCCGTCCCCCTTCCCGTCAATGTGAAAGTCATAGGTAATGAGTGGATCAACATGGTACGTGAAGGTTATATGTGGTGTAGGAGATAATGGTGGGGTAGGAGATGATGGTACTATGAAAGGGTCGGGTGCAGTTAATGTCGACGCAGAGGGAATCATAGTAGACAGACATGTAGTAGACAGTGGTGCTAAGGGAGTCACCGGGGTACCAACCGCTGTCCTATATGAGGGTGGTGACCAGGAGGGGTCCAATATATGGCCATGGTGTGTGGAAGTATGTTCAGACATTAGAGGATCTACCTTAGGGGCAAATTGGGATGTGTAATTGGTACATTCAGGTAGGGAAGTCTGTGGTGTATGCATTGTTGTAGATGGACCACGAGGGGACAGGCCCATGGAAGGCCCCTCACCAAAGTGTTCCATATCGAAATAGTCCGATTGATGTGCATGAGGTGCGGTAGGATGTGGTGGAGGCATTGATGTCGATGGCTCAGTGGATGGCATATTCGGGTGCGGCATTGATGTCACTATAATAGCTACCCCCATATAAGGATCCTCGCCAAAGTGGCCGAAATCTAGTCGGTCACGTCGGTGTGCCTGTTGCAAACCATCGTATAATAACTCTCGTATCTCGGCAATGGCATCCAATCCCTCTCTACCATCGCGTGTAATATGGGTAGCGTCTGCCATGTGATATGCCCTCGCAACTCTACGAACCTGTAATGTAATGATAGCTGTGTTACATAACCATCAATGCCAAATAACAAACATACACAAACTTAAGCAAATGTTCGTTTTGGAGAATATAAAGAACTTACCAATCCCTCTAAACTACCCCCAATGCCTTGGTATCCGAAGGCAGCAATGTCACTCGGATTACTAAGTACTAGACATGTATGACGGCGAAACCATAACATGTATGGGTCTGAAGATGTAAGCACTTCATTGCTCCTCTCAGCATGGACAATGGTGTTGCGTCGGTTGTTCCACTCACCAATAAATGTCTGGTATTCCTTTGCCCAATCAATGGACATTTTGCCACGCCTATCTCTAAAATACATAGCCAAGTGGGCGTCAAAGCGATCAGGCACACTCTGAACTCGTCCAAATTGTCTAAGCACCCGGTCGGGGAGATGCTAATCAATGATATCAAAGCATATAAGTGGCACTTGTGCCATCCATATGTCTCGACCAACGGTACAATACGATAGGAAGCTGGTCATGATGTCATCCTCCGTCCTGTAAGACTCCCATATGAACTGCAATAGCAATGCAATAATTTAGAGATCTATTCATACAACGGAGGTTGACAAACAAAAAAATGGGTAAATTCACATGAACAAATTGCAAACCTCCCCCTGCACCATGCGGTCGAACTGGTCCCGGAAGATGACACCGACATTAGTCGATATCACCTCATGGCTGAAGGGAACCCTCCACCTGCAAGCTCACGGGCCAGGTGGTAACAACTGGTCGCCCTCCCCTATGGCACGCTCGCCAGCAGCAATGTTTGACTTCCGACTAGGGGCGATCCTGCTCAATCTCTCCCACGCCCAAACCTACAATGAATGATGCCATTTTTAATTTATTACAGTAGGCACTTTAGAAAACATGGCAATTGAGAATATGAGATAAAACTACAAGTCATTGTAACTCACTTGTAACAACACTAGTGGGCCAGCTATCTCCTTTGTATCAACCTTAGTTGCCCGACACAACATCCTATACAAACATGCCAATGTGGCACCACCCCAGCTGTACTCCTGCATACGGTCAAAGTCTATAAGTAGTGGCAAAAACATCATCTTGACTATATTTTGTGACTTATCGGGGACGAGCACCCCCCCAAGAAGCCACATAATATAGGCTTGAGCATAATAATGAACCGTCTCATCGGATGCATCATGTGGAAGGTGACGGAAATGCTCTGATATCCATTTCAACTTAAGCGATGATCCAATGAAGTCTTCTTATGTAGGTGCTGCTCCTAACAACTCCACACATAGCGCTATCAAATCATCCAACTTATTTCCTAGGTCTTTTCCAGTAACTGTGTGTCCGTCAACCGGTAGGCCAAATAGAATAGTCACATCTTGTAATGTAACTGTGGACTCTCCAACAGGAAAATGAAATGTGCGTCTCTATGCGCCACCTCTCTACGAGAGTTGTAACGAGATGGTGGTCTAATCGAATAGGTCTGATCCGATACACCCCGTAGAACCCCGCATGGAGTAGGCAACGTAGGACTCTATGGTCCAAGGCGGTGATCCATATGCCCGAATTAGATCGTCGGCATTTCAATTTCGGCTGATCTTTTGCCTGCACAAGACAACGTTGTGTGTAAGAGACATAATTCTTGTACAAATGACAATTGAATTTTCATAATGAACCCATCTTCTATTAACTAAAACAGTGGGTGAGATAACCAACATTTTAGTGGTGCATAGTGCGTAAGTGGTGTAAATGTACAAAGATAAATACATACAGACACAGATTTGGAGTGTCGTGACATAGAAATAAAAGGCTCCATCAAAACTAATATAAGTTTTAGAATGTTTGGTACACCTGTTAACGAAGTTGGGTTGCACCCTTCACTGTAGACTGCAATGGGGGGTTATGTGGTTTTCAGTTAAATTAGAAGGGCGTAAAATATAACCAAGCCGTCATTTCATCATTGAGATAAGAATTAAATAAGTTGGGGATCAAATGAATACAATGAAATATTACAGACTAATATAACATATAATGAATATATTTTGAAGAGTTTAAAGTCCTTTATTTTGAAATGAAAAATGTCGCTCGAACTATATTAATGCAAGTTGTGTAGTATGAAATAAGTTAAAAGTTATTTAAGTAAACGAACAAGCTAAAATAGTCACGTTGTCAATAATTGATATTGTTTGTGTTCTAAACTCTAAACTCTAATCGATGATTATCAACTTTCTTCGATACTCTAGTCATTAATATCATAAGCGTGAACTTGGGGTAATTGTTAAACTCGATGATTATCAACTTTTTAACCTTTTTTTTTGGTTAAGCTAGCGGTCCATTTAATATAATCTTCTTTGTTCTCTCTCTATGGACTAACGTTTACAGTTAGGGAAATTTGTCTAAACCATTGAAATGTCCAAATAGGATGATCCATGGACTAACATTTACAATTTCACATTATATTATGTAACAACTACAGTGTTTGTGTAGTATTCAAATATCGATT